CATTTGATTTTTGATATTCAATGAATTTATTTTTTTGTGATTTGTCAATTGTGAAACCTAGAAAGGGGCAATATTTTCAAATCTTTGATTAAACGTCTTTCAGAACTCATCCAATTGATATTTTCAAACTTTTGAAAATAAAAGAAGAAGAAAAACATTTCCAAACAAGATAATCTCTCTGGAGGCATATCTTGGTATTCGACAAATATCTCTCAGAAGCTCAAGATCGAAGTTGGGGCAAGAGAAGACAAATTTGTGGGGCAAAATTTGATGGGGCAAATAAAACAATTGGTCTCAGGTCAAGGTTTGCAAAAGTACACCATGGTGGAAATGAAGACAAACTGAATCAATGATAGAGTGAAGACTGCTCTCGCAACCATTCTCCTTTCAGCTCGAGAAAAAACATACATCAACATATATGTACATACATACATACACTAACATACATGTTACATAAGTTTGCATCTTTGCATCAAACGTTTATCATCATGTGTATTAAAGACATTTTTCTCCTCACTTGAGGACAAATTCAATAAAAAATCAAATAAATTTCATATTGACATCTATCATAACATCCAAAATAGTTAGTCAAAAATGCATCATTCTGATCTTTTCAGGAAATAAGAGCTCGGAAATAACCAGATGTTTTCAACTTGAAAGAACAATGCAATCCACATATTTGGCTTCCTGAAGTCAACAATCAGATCTTCTGAAGACGTTTCCTCAACATGCAGGAATCAATAGACAAACTTTGAGCTATTGAGATTATTTTCTTTCAAAAAATAATAATAATAATAATAAATAAAGTGTCGTCTCACTAGAGATAGTTTTCTTAAAAACAAATTTTATTTTGTCTCGCTTGAGACAACTTTCTCTTTAAAACAAATTATGTCTCGCTTGAGACATTTTCCCACAAATTTTGAGAATTTTAAAACAAATTGCGTCTCGCTTGAGACATTTTTCCTTTGAGATACAAATTTTGAATTTGATTCACTAAAAACAAAATTAATCTCACCTTAGATTGTTGTTTCTTTCAAAACAAATTTCGTCTCGCTTGAGACCTTTTCCCTTTGAGATCCAAATTTCGAATTTGTTTCACATTAAACAAAGTTGATCTCACTTGAGATCGTTTTCTCAAAAAACAAACTTTGTCTCGCTTGAGACAATTTCTCTAAAAACAAATTTTGTCTCATTTGAGACTATATCTTAAAGCGAATTTCGTCTCGCTTGAGACATCATTTTCTCTCATAATACAAATTTCAAGGTTGTTGTACTTAAAGCAAAATTAATATCACTTGAGATTTTCAAAGCTGATTTGTCTCGCACGAGACAGTTTTCCCTTTAAACAAATCCTGAAATTGTTTCATTTGAAACAAAATAAACACTTTTGAAAACACCTTTGAGATTATTTCCATATAAACAAAATCGACAATCTTTGAATCTTTTAAAACAAAGTTTTGTCTCTCTTGAGACAATTTTGTGGAAAAAAAAATCTTTGAGAGTGTTTCTTTAGAAACAAATCTTTGAGTCTGTTTCTTTTGAAACAAATCTTTAAATCAATTTCTCCTGAAACCATGATCCCTAAAGATGGCCAGAACTCTTCATCACGTATGAGCCGTGCCATCCCCTGACCAGATCTCCTCATCATGTAGGAGCCATGTCAACCATAGATAACCAGCCGTCCTCATCACGTAGGAACCGTGTTATCGCCCTACCTAAAGATGGCCAGAACTCTTCATCACGTATGAGCCGTGCCATCCCCTGACCAGACCTCCTCATCACGTAGGAGCCGTGTCATCCTAGATAACCAGCCGTCCTCATCACGTAGGAATCGGGTTATCACTCCTCCTAAAGATGACCAGAACTCTTCATCACATATGAGCAGTGTCATCCCCTGACCAGATCTCCTCATCACGTAGGAGCCGTGTCACCCTTAGACGACCAGACATCTTCATTGCGTATGAGCAGTGTCGTCCCCACCAACAAAACTATCTATTTTTTTAAACCAAAAAGAGGAGAACCAGACAAAAACGTGTTTTCTTGTCGTCTTTGCCCTATTCTTGTTAACACAAGAATGTGCAAAGAGGGGCAGCTGTAGACACCCGTTTTTGTCCGGGTCTTTTTTTTAATATTATTATTATTATCGTTATATTATTATTATTACTATTATTATTATTAATTTACAAATTTTACATTTTTGTTGCAGGCTATTAAGCCCATCAGTACATCAAGCCCAACAAGCTGGAGCCCAGACCCGATTCAGGCCTACAAGTACCCAAGCAATTAGGGTTTTAAACCCTAAACATATCATCATCCAGCCGCCGCCGCCAACAGCAGATGAACAGCTGCCGCCGTTACTGTTCCGGCCCACTCCGATGGTCCAGCCGCCGTTCCCGCGCCACCATCGTCATCTACAGTGAAAAATCAATCAAACAGTAACCCCATCAGTTCCAAATCAAAACCCTAAATAAAAAAATCCCTATAATCCCTATAATCCGGGATTCAATCACCCTAAATCAACAACCCATAATTTCCCTAAGCCTTAGATATCATTATCACCGAAAGAACCCTTAAATCCAACATGCAACCATTATGAAGTGGGGAGAGAACGAAAAGAAAAAGAGGGGGAGAAGATTCGGGTTTACAGAAAAAAAAACATTTGAGGAAAAAAAAAACAAAGAGACTACCGAGATTAGAACCACACAAAAGAAAGAAAGGAAGAAGATGAGCGATTTTCTTACCTCGGTTTGGCATTGGAAGTCCGAGAGTCGCCGGTTTTCCTCATTTATTCGAAAGGTATAACCTAGATCTAGGTCTTTGGGGAGGGTTTTAGACTAAAGGAGTTCGGTTTTCGACATGGGTATGAACAGGGGATCGTTTTGAGGGTGGTTTTCTCTCTCCTGCCGTCGTGGGCCGCCGTGAGCTCCGCCGAGAGCTCCACCGGCGGCGGCGTGTTCCTCTTCTCCAGAGAGAGATTTGAGAGAGTTTTCTCCCTCTCTCTCTTTTTGTTTCTGGGGCAAGTGGGAAATGAGGGAGATGAGAGGTTTAGCTCATGTTTTGGGCTTTTATTTCCCAGTTGGAACGACGCCGTTTAGGGGGTCAGGGTATGCGTGTTTCAGCATGAAAGGGTAAATAGCCCATTTGGTCCCCATATGTTCATAATCTTCCCCATGTTTCTCATATTTTTAGGGTAAATCGCACTATAGGTCCCCGTGTATTTGTAACGTTCTGATGTAGCCATTAAATGAAGTTTCATTTATTTGATTTCAGATTCTGATGTTTCCTTATTTATATTTTAGTCCTTTTATTATTTGTTAAGCTATTTTTGTTAATATTTGACATTGGTCACTATATTTGTAAATATATTATTTTAGCCATTGGCTTGTGTATGGTTTAATTCCTATTTAGTCTTTTAGGTTTCAGTTTTTCTATTTGAGTCTCCTTTTTATTTCTTGTTATATTTTCGTCCTAACATATGTGTTGATGTTTATGATAATTTTTATATATCAGGCCTGGAACTTGTGAAATGTGTATTTCAGTCCTTAAATTTTCTGTAATGTTAGTTTGGTTTTATGCCTATTCAGGTTTATTGATTTGTGATTAATTTTATTTTGATCATTGTATGTATATTAATGGAATTTATTAACATTTATGTTTTAGTCTTTAAACTGGGTTGCCTTCTATTTTAGTCCATCTTTGTTCTTAGTTTTTATTTTAGATGAGGTTTATGATTTTGGTCATCTGTTTTGCTTCCTTTTCATTTCGGTCCTTTATGTTGGCTTGTGGGTTCGATTGGGTTAATGTTTGATTTAGGCTTAAATTTTCTTTTAGGTTCATTTTAGTCACTATTTTAGTTCATTGTATATTTTTCTGTGGTATTCGAATCTGGTCTTGACATTCGTATGTATTTTATTTTAGTCATTGTTGTATTTAGATTTAATTATTATTCGGCCTTCATGTTTATGTTTTATTGCATTTTAGTCCTAAATTTCGTTTGGGGTTATTTTTATTTTTAGTGTCTGTAATTATTATTTCTGATTTTCTCTGTTTTTTATTTATCATGTTAGTCCTTGTAATTTTATTATTTACTTTTTGATTATTATATTTGGTGATTGTAATATTGATTTGTATTTATGTCAATCGTATCTACATTTTTTTTATGTTATGCATTTATTTATATCATATGTAAATAAATATGTTTAACTTTATTTGTGGTGTATGTTTTATTTTGTATTTTATTCCATTTCTTTAACTGTTAATGTTATCTGAATAGTTTGAAGAACGCGAATTTGTAGAACGGGTGTAGAAAGTATCACTTGATCGAAGTGGTACAATCTAATACGACGTTCAAACTAAATAGAACTTGAAATAAATCAATTTTAGTTTGTTAATTGTTAATTCATTTTTATTTTATATTGATCAATGCAAGTTATGTATTTTATTTTTTTGTATTGTCAATATTCATTTTATATTTGACCCGTATTTTATCGATTGAGGGAATATTCTTTTATTGATAAGAAATAGACGAGTTAGCTTTTCCAATGGAGGATTGTTAATTCGAGATTTCTTTTCGAATTAAAGAATTTTCTCTAATTAATTGATTCGAAACAAATTAATAAATGTTCAATAAACGGATCATATTTTAACTTTATATTCGTTTTGTAATTTCCACAATTTTACGACAACTTGTAAGCGACACAGTACCAATTTTGGGCGTTGTGGGAGTATTTACATTTCCCCACACGTAACCGACTCCCGAATCCATTTAAATGAATCTTTGGTAACGCATACCGAATTTTGTCTAAAAAATGATTTTTCTTAAAATTGTTTTAAAAGACGTTTTTAGGTATTCGACCTACCTAACCCAAAGGTCGATGGCGACTCCCTTTTCTATTTTATTCGAATTAATCCAAATTCCCCGATTTCTTTTCAAATTAAAGTCATAATCTTTTTTAAAAAATAATATTTAATTGTTTTACCTAAAAAAAAATGGTTATGACAGATCGATCCAAACTTCTTCAACTCCTGATCGAGATGCGCAGCCGTCACATTGAAGGGCAAGTTTCTAATGTAAATGGAATGGCCTTCAACTGCAAGTTAAATATATTTAAAACATGGCTACTCATACTAAAATAACATCGTTTTAGTTCACACGTAACCGGAGTAAAAGAAGCAACTAGCTTCTTCTTTTCTATTCGCTCCGAGGTACAACAAATTATTTCCGTAAACACAACGTAGAGAAAAACGAAAGATACCTTCCTCGGGAATGTCGTTACCCTTGGGGGCATCATCGCTAGAAGGTGCAGATACTTCTGGCGGAGCAGACGCTGCAGAAACAGGAGGCTGCTTCTCCGTTTCCTTGGGCGTCACTTCTGTAGTATTAGAAGGTACAAAGACTCTAGTTGGCCCTAGACTTCCTTTAGCTACTTTCACCTACAACAACAAATAATAACCTTAAACAAACAAATGTTCGCAAATTCTGTCGAACGAAACATATTCACTTATAAACTCACAATCGACGCATAGGATTTCTTTGCAGAATCCTCTTGGGCCGAAGGAGAAGCTGATTCAACAACTGCAGGAATATCGTCACCGTTCGAATGAGAGTGGGGATTCACAGCAGGCATTTTTTCATTGACCAACTGTTTTTCCGAGTCTGACGGCTCGTGAACTTGTTCAGCAACATTTTGGTTCTCTTCCACAGGTGCAGTAGCTGGATCAGGTGCAGGAGGATCGGGAATTTGTGTAGGCTCTGGAAGCAAAATCAAATGAATATCGAAACAAATCTAGATTAAACAAAAGGAAAATATGGTAAGAAAATGTCGCTTTACCAGGTGCTGGTGTTGGATGCACTCTAGGAGCATCACTAACACCATTAACTTTATGTTTCTCCAAGGGTTCACCATCTCCTACATACCTAAACACATCGTTCAGAACGAAATACCCGTTGTCTTGAGGAGCAAGGAAAAAAGATTGCGCAAATTTTCTCTTCAAGTTATCTTTGCCCGTTAAACATCCGGTTACCAATACAGTTACTCCTTCCATGTAAGATTTCTGAGCATCAGCGGTATTAATCTCGGCCTTATGATTTGTGTAATCGACGAAAAGAATCTTCTCATTAATACCCTGTTAAAGAAAAACAATATTGCAATTTATTTGCACTTCAGAGTTCACATACTGTCTGCAACTATAACATAAGTATATATAAATTCATGGACAACAACAGGAGGGCAGCCCCCCATTCCCCTCAAACACTACCTTAAATATTGGTAAATTTTCTATTCGGCCCCCTCCCCGAAATAATTTATTATTAAATCTTGACCCTAAGACAAAATTCTTGACTTAATCCCTGTGCAAATTATTAATTTTTGGCTAAATGTTCAAATCCGGACCAAACCTTTTAAGGGCTGCTCATATAAGAGCCAAACCTTTCAAAATGGTCAAACAAGGGCTAAACCGTTTCGAAGGTGCTCGAATAAATACCAAACCTCTTAAAATGGTGATTAAGACACTGTTCTAAGTTGGGATTGTGAAATTTTATCAATTAACTGAGATCATTTAGCGAGGTCCTACTATATTACATCACCCTTAACCAGGCAATAGCTAATGAAAGATCATTTACTGATGCAAAACTACACTGCATACGGAACCAAACAAATTATAGGAACTTATAACATGCTATAGATTCAAAATGAAAGCTAAGACGAATGGCGGAAAACCTTAGAACCAGCCAAAGAAACAAACATCTAGAGGCAATAACAAGCTTACTTGCATGGTTGTAACCGATGTCATCACACCGTTGGAATCCGACCGGCTAATCACACTTGAATCATGATAGAATCTATGAGCCAAATCTGGAGAGTTATAGAGAATGTGGTAATACTGCTCGACGAAAGCATTCCCAACAACTTGGGCGCTCGGAGTAGCCGGGCGAGCTGCCGTTTCCAATGCCATCTGCAGGAAGAAAAACACCACAAATAAGCCACAGGCATAACATAACTTCAAGCTCAAATGAAAAGGGGCAACCCCTTAAACTACCAAATCTAGTAGAAATTAGTGATGAAATCAAAATCCTAAATACTAACAATTTTTCTAATCAAAACCTATAAAAAAGGCTTAATTCACTATTATTTACCTACATTCACTACTATCAAAGAACAAAACTTTTAACAAATATCCACCAAGTAAAAAACAAAGATATATACAATTATATATATACACATATATAGACATGCTTCCTTTGAAGATTAAAAGAAAATATGGGGAAAGTGAAGAAAAGGGTACCTGAAAAATGGGAATGTTGAGAGCTTAGAGAGAGATTGAGAGTTTTTGGTTGCAGGGAAAGAGATACTAAGGGAAGAAGAAGACAAAGAAAATTACGGAAGACTGTAGAGAGAAAAGGTACGGTTTGTTTGGTTTTTGCTTAGGGTTGTTTTCGTTTTAAAAACATTTAATGGTAAATTATATTAATAGTCACTAAACTTCAAGAATGATATTAAAAATTTTAGGGTGAATTATGCATTTAGTATTTAAACTATAAGCTTTGGTCCGTTTCAGTATCTAAAATTTCAATTTTTTCAAAACCATATCTAAAGTTTAATTTTTATTTCATTTTAGTACCCGTTCAAAACTTAACGTTGCGTTATGAAAAAAATTAAAAGTTTAGATGCTAAAATAGACCAAAACTGATAGTTTAGGCACTAATCGCATTAAAATTTTAATGATGTGTACTAAAATGAAATGAAAACTAAACATTAAGTATGATTTGAAAAAATTAAAAGTTTAAATATTAAAACGGATTAGTACTAATAGTTTAGATACTAAATATGTAGTTTACCCACTGTGCGAATTTCACTAAACTTTAAGAATATTTAATTTAAAAATTTGTTAAAGTCATTATCGTTAAAAGAAAAAATATTATATTGGAAAAATAATATAATGATACAGGCGAGATAAAATGGATGAAATATTATCTTTTAAAATTCTAAAAATTACATAAATATTGTTGCAAATTTGATTACCTTCGAAACGATAAATCTGATATATATAAACTCTAATTGCGAGTGTGCTTTCTCTCGTTGACCTAATTTTTTTTTATTGATGTGTAATTTATCTAAGTTTTTTTCGTTTTTGTTGACCGACGATAACATCAATTTTAATGTTAGTTGCTAATAACCGATATTTTTTATTGTCTATTTCTTTTCTTATGTTGTATCTCTATTTTTTTATTTTCAGTAAGTCTACGTGTATAACATGTTTCCTTCTATCTTTTAGCATGTTTTTCGGTCAATTGACCTTTTTTGATTTATCTATTTCAAAGGTTAATCTGACATCGTAACAATTGATCAAGATAATGCTTATCTGATAGCTTGTTGATCTTCCCCGCTTTAGACCCTCAGATTGAATTTAAATACAGATTTGAGTTTGCAGATAACTTTTCACGTCGCTCGAGACTAATTTATGTTTTGTCGGTAACCTTTCAGTAATTTAATCCCCTGTTATGATTCGTTTACCAATACGATCATCTATTTTTATTAAAGTTTTAGAGTCTAAAAAAAATACTGAATTTGAGTCTTGAGAGCCTTATATACGGGGACCAGTAGAAGGTTAGTGAAAATGGATGAAAATGTTGATGTTTTTTTAATGTAAAATTTGATATTTATTTTTCTAATTAGGTATCTGACCTTAATTTACTCGTTCAAACCAAATATGACACACTTTATGATCTAAAAAAAAGTAAACTACATCAAATATCGTCGAACTTTCGACGTTTATATCGTTTATATCACCGAATTTTTAATTGTCAATTACAACATTGAACTTTGATTTTCATTTCAATTATTCTACTAAACTTTTAAATCATTAACAACACGATGATTGGCTGACGGCTGCCAGTGTAGACACATCACCAAAACGATTTCATTTTGATCCGACCGTTAACGATTTAACGGTCCAAAAGTATAATTGAAACGAAAATTAAAGTTCAGTGCTATAATTGGTAAAATTAAAAGTTTAATAGTATAAACAATACAACGTCCGGAAGTAAATAAGAAAAGGTAGAATAGTTCTAAATGACCCAACAACACCACCACCAAATTATGAAAGCATGGAGGACCAAAATCTAAGCAAAAAGTAAGCAATTCCCGGAAATGAATCCGCCCTAGGCCTATTGTTTCATACTTTCTATCAATTTTTTTCTTGCAAGTAAGTTGCTTATGCTAAACTTTCATTTCAAGTGTTCGAACCGCAAGTTATGTCGGAAGATCCGCGTTATTTTGTAGTTCGGACCGGAGACATGAATCGATAACCTGGCTGTAGAAACCCCAATCTTGGTTTCTTTTAGTGATAGCTATCTGACCAAAAGGGTTTCGCTCGACAAAGTTCCGTACATTATCGGCCGAAGCTAACCTTTCCAAGTAAACTTTAAGATCACCCCCTTCACCTAAAATAAATACAAGATACATGTGAACGCTACTTCGGAAAACATTAGTAGACAGATAATTCAGTTTTCTTTCTTATTCAACATTCTTCGAACCACGGAACTTAAATAATTTCAGAAGTCGTTTTACCTAATATATTATCGTTCATGTCGAACTTGAATGAATGAGGAAATACTGCAGTATGCGGCTACAAAGATGAGCAGAAAATCGAAAACAATATCAGGTCCTATGTTAGAAAGACAGACAAATAATAGTGACCTAAACCAAAGAAATGGTGTAGTCTGTTAACTTACAGGATTAAGCAGTGCTTTGTAGGGAGAATCATCTATCAACAATGTGTTTGACTCATTATAGTATCCCTTCTCCCATGGAAGATCGGGATCATGTTTTCGCCAAAGCTTCCTCAAATCTTTAAAAACCAAGGGCTTGTTTTTATGCCCGGGTGTATCAAATCGTGTTGCGGTGCAGTCGGATGAATCCTGATTAATCGTTGGCATGAAGCAAATGGATCAGAGTTGGAATTGTTCCCAGTTTAATTGCATATAAAAATTGTATTTGATGTAAAGTGCATTGATGAAATTAGACCAGTATATTTGTAGGTACTCATAAAATCTTAAAGAAGTACAAGGACATTCGAACATTATAGCAAAACAACATATTAATTCATGATTTGTTCAAGTAACAGCACTGTCAATATCTTCCTATGCTATCACTTATCTTAGTTCTCACGTAATATAGCATCAAAGCAACTAATCCTCAAACTAGGGAAATCAAATTCTGTTACTCATCGAGACAAGAAAGCAGGACTTTTTTCTTTTCTTTTGGGAACAGAAAGCAAAGGCCAAATGGCTCAAAGGTTCAATTTTTGCTCTTGATAGTGATTGAACACCAGTCAGCTAGAGCACTTTCTAGGCAATGACACCAAGCAGGTCTTTTCTTTCTGTTCTTTTTTCAAAGAATTCAAAGCAAAGGCTCAAAGATTCATTCTTTAATCTTAATGGTGATTGAATGGGAATCACCAAGAGCATTTACTAAGGCAGGGGAGCCAAGCAGGCCTTTTTTTACTTACGCAGTGGCACCAAGGTAATGACAAGGCAATGGTATTAAAGATGACTTAAAACAGAGTATACAAAAATGTAAAGACTTCTGCAGCAACGCAAAGTTTTAACAGAAAGTAAAATGAAACAGGCCATAATTACCCAACAAAACAGCAATTTACGTTTCATATCTCCCATCAGATAATCAATAAATTTTTCAACATTTTTCCTGCAAAAGTAAAAATTCCAGCAAATAAGGTAACATATTAATTCTCCATTGCATCTATCCAGCATTAAGAAAAGGCCATCCATTGTTTGGTTCCCAAAAAAATGAAAAGTACCTATGTCTTGAAGACCAGATACCAACTTCAAACCTCTCACAACAAAACTTTAAAAAATCATCACAGTAGGGTCTTTTAAACACTGTGAAAAGAAAAGGGAAGGAAATTCCAAATTAGTTTTAAAAATAGTTTGAACATAAAATGCATTAACCTAGGCAAACGAAGTTTAGGACACCAGGTTCTCACTTGCCCGTCCTGCAATGTATACATCTGGAGCATGATCATTCGGCGGAGCATAGACTATATCAGCCAGAATCCCATTCAAATCAAGAACAATAAGTTTTTTCCTTGAGTGACTAACAGGAGGTATACCAATAGCAAGAGATACATCATTTGTTACATTTGCATCAAATGAATCACTCTTTTCTTCACTGTTTCCTTTATCCGATGGAGTTGGACCTGAAACAGTATCCGTTTGATCAGTGTTAGTAAGGCCAACTTCCTTAACCAAGTCAGCCTCCATGTTTTTCCACAATCTCCCCTATTCCTTCCTTTTTTTTCATGTCCCTGTCACCAAAGGCAAAAAGTATCAAATAACATGATGAAGCAAACTTCTTAGTATAACATACAAATTTTAGGCTCAGAACTATTAGTTAACCATTCACGACTAGACATAAAACTTTATCTTCATTGTTAGCGACCAACCAACAATTCAATGGATTGGACATCTAGGCAAAGACTCCTCCATATCAAGAGTCTAAAAAAACAAAAATAAAGGGGAAAAAAACTCTAAATGCTAAAATACATTTTCTAACTCAAGTCATCGAGTTAAATTACAAACTATCCACAAAACAAAATGTGTACTTCCTATTTTATAAGCCAACGAGAGCTAGCAAAAACATTATAGTCCCAACATTAAAAGCCATCTTCACCAGCTTTTGCACTTAGGTTTCAAGTATAGATAGTTGTATTACAATCCTACGCTGCTTAGACTCAGGTTGAGCGTCAACAACTAAAACGTACCAAACAAATGTATGCTCGATATTCATATCCAAATATATTGATGAACCTATATTATGATATAGCAAATAAACCCCCTCTTGGCGGTTTTCGGTTAATCGATCGAGCTTAAAATATATGAAATTAGTGTTCGACGCAGATACTTCAAGTAAAAGAAACATAGTCATGATAATTATCTAACTATATATATAAGAGTCAGGATTTGTCCACACCCTGTAAAAACATTTTAGGATTCAGAGAATATCTCCTCATTTTCTACCGTTAATATCATCGATTCATACAACATCCAATCATCTAAAAAAGTGTAGAACTAAAAATCTATACCAGATGTAAGCGGATCCTAAACCTGTATATAATAATTATCATTTAAGTAATCACTATAATGCAAAGAGCATTCTTGGTGAAAAGAATTAAAGCTTGAAAAACATACAAAAATAACTTCAAAAAGATCGCAGAGACATAAAAAAAGAAAATTCCCCAACTGGCATAGTTAGAAATTAGCATATTACAAATTGAAACAATTTGCAACGATTTCTAGGGTTTCTTGTAAAAAAAACCCCGATAAAATTGTATCTCGAGCGACGAGAAAGACAATTAGAAGTAACTAAACAACACATTAAACTCTAAAAAAACCCAGAAAAAATAGATAATTGGAGAAGAACAGACCTTTGAGAATTGGGATTGAATAGTTGACGTGAGAGATGGGATTTAGATTTTCGTAAAGAGAAGCTTAAAAAAAATGGCATCTTTAAATATTGGATAAAAGTACACAAATGGTCCCCTGATTATTGGGTATTATTTTGTTGAGCATTCAACTATTAAAAATTATAAAATGATTTAACTATATGGTAGTGTTTTGTTGAGTCCCTTAATTATTAAAAGTTATAAAATAGTCATTTGACTACATATATTTCAAACTCGTCTTTTTTTTGTTAAAAATTTAGCAGTTATTTGAACTAGACATTGACTTGCAACTGAGAAAAGATAAAATCTTATCCTAAAATAGTATATATTGTATAGTCATTTGATATTATAGGATTATATTTTATCAAATCTCAGTCAATACGTTAAAGTCCAACTCAAATGCCCATCAAAATTTTAACGAAAAATGACGAGTTTGAAATATATGAATAATTAAGTGACTATTTTGTAATTTTGTAAAGTCAAAAAACTCAATAATCAGCATCCTATAGTTATAAGATTATTTTATAATTTTCAATAATTGAGGGATTTAATAAAATAATATTCTATAATTGAGGGACCATTTGTATATTGTACCCTTAAATCTTTGGGGATATTACCATTTACCGCTCTTACTTACCCCTCACCGTATGAATATTTCCTTTTTACTTTGTTTAAACCACTTGTAATTTAAAGGCAGTTATTTCGGTCTGCTATTTATCCGTCCAATCCAATCTTGTCATTCACAATTCTTTTAATTTGAAATTTTAAGATATGTTTGAGAAGTGATGATAAAATTAATCTTAAAAAATTTGATAAACTACGCATTTAATTCTTAAACCATCCAGCTCATTTGGTAGAGAACAAGACTCTTATCTTTGGGGTCGTGGGATCGAGTCCCACGGAGGACATTTCATAATTCGGATGTATCATACGGAAGCTGCTCTCAACCTGGCGTTGGGGGAAACCTACTATCCTACCTCTAGGGATGGCAATGGGTCGGGTCGGGTCGGGTTTTTGGGCCACCCGACCCGAGAAGAAAGGGTTCTCCACCCGTGACCCGACCCGACAAAATTAATGTTTCACTCGATCCGACCCGACCCGAATATATGACTTAGAAACCCGACCCGAAATAATAAAAAAAAATTAATTCAATGAAAACAGTGACTTAATTGAAAAAAATTATATATGGAGGGATATTATTGTAATTATCCCTAAATATATAAGATAAAATTATATATATTTTTCGGGTCGGGTCGGGTCGGATTTTTTTACCCTAAACCCGACCCGACCCGAAAAGTGCATTTAAAAAAAACCCGACCCGACCCGACCCGAACCCAATTTTTTTTAAAAAAAATCCGACCCGATCGGGTCGGGTCGGAACCCGTCGGATTCGGGTTGAGTTGACATCCATACCTACCTCCCTCTTACCCCATTACATATAGGAATAAGGGTCAGCTAATTTTTAGTACTTAAACTTTTAGTTTTTTTAAAATTATATCTAACGTTTAGTTTTTGTTTTATTAGTACTTACTGTTAAAAATTTAATGCGTTTAACACCTAAACTATTAGTTTTAGTTCGTTCTAGTACCTAAACTTTTAACTTTTTTTCCCAAAAATTGACGTTAAATTTTGAACATGGGTACTAAAATATGAAACAAAAGCTAAATTTTAGGTACGGTTTTGAAAAAAAATTAAAAGTTTAGGTATTAAAATGGACTAAAACTGATAGTTTAGGTACTAAATATGTAATTTACCCTAAATTTTTTTTAAAAATTGGCTTATATCACAAATAAGTATCTAAGGTATATATTCTTTTTAATTTAAGTACCTAAAGTATTTTTTGGTCTAAATAAGTACCTAAAGTTATATTTTTTTGTTAAAATAAGTATCTAAAGTATTTTATGTGAAAATAGGTATATAAACTATTCATACTTATTCATCTAAGTTCTAAAAAAAGTTGATTGTGACATTAATTAAAGAATATTTTAGGTACGTAGACGAAAAAAATTGAATACTTTATGTGTCTATTTTGATAAAAAAAAATACTTTAGATACTTATTTTGACCAAAAATATAACTTTAGGTGTTTATTTTGACCAAAAAATACTTTAAGTACTTAAATAAAAATGAAACATACTTTAAGCACTTATTTGTAATATAAGCCAAAAAAATAATAAAAGTAATATTAAATTTTGCATAAAATAAAGTCTAAAGTACAAAAATGGTCCCCCAATTACAGGGTAATTTTTTATTAAGTCATTCGACTATTAAAAGTTATAAGATGGTCCTATGACTATAGAATGTTGCTTTGTTAAGTTCATCGACTATTAAAAGTTACAAGATAGTCACCCGACTATTCATTATGTTTCAAACTCGTCATTTTCAGTTAAAAAATTGGTGGGTGTTTAAGCTGGACTTTAACATGATGATTGATTGGAATATGATATTCGTTTGAGATTATGATATTAGCTTTTATCATATCACAATCAACATGTTAACGTTAAACTTTGAATGTCATCAATTTTTTAATAGAAAATTACAAGTTTAGAACAAAATGAATAGTCGGAGTAACCATTTTGTAACTTTTAATAGTAAAGGGACTCAACAAAGCAACATTATATAGTCGGTGGATCATTTTGTAACTTTTATCAATCGATAGACTTAATAAAGTAATATCTTGTAGTCAGGGGGCATTCATGTGCTTTGCCCTAAAATAAAATAAGAGAAAGCTTTTATTATTTTTGTAAGAAAAAAGGAAAGATTTATTAAAATATAAAAGGTAAGATACTAGGTTTGTAATTTAAAGTACATATTTATTAGATATATACGTGTGACAAATTGTTGCGTCCCCCACAAAACCTTTTAAATTAGGCCAAACACTACCTAACATATTTTAGGGTAAACTACACCAATAGTCACTAACATTTGAATAATTTTTTGTTTTCCCATTAAAGCTTCAAAAGTAACAAATCGGTCACTAACTATACCGATTTGTAACAAAATGGTCACTCCATTGTCATCCTCGTCAATTAGGGCTGTTCATTTGGTTAAAATCGAATCGAACCGAACCGAATTAACTATAACCGAATTAATCAAACTTTTTTTTCTTTAACCGTTAACCGAACCGAACTTTTTTCCGAAAATATTAACCGAACCGAATAAATTTAGGTTAATTCGGTTAATTTTTGAATTAACCAATTTTTTTTTTTAAAATTTTTCTAATTTATATAAAAATTAAATATTTTTTAATTTAAAAAAATTTAAATTAATTTAATAATATAATTATAAAAATATTTCAGATAAATTTTTTAATTAATTAATATTGATTTAGGTTTAAAAGTTATTGTATCTTAAATTATTAATTGGGTTTTAAATGGTTTGGGATTAGCCCATATGTTATATAATATATATATATAATATTTTTTAATTAAAAAACAGTTCACAATTAATTTAAATAATATATAATTATAAAATAAAAAATTTATATAATTTTTTTAATTAATTAATATTGATTTATGTTTAAAAGTTATTGATTAAAATTATTAATTGAGTTTTAAATAGTTTGGGCCGAGCCCATATGTTATATATAAAATATTTAAAATTTAAAATTTAATTTCGGTTAATTAACCAAATTCGAACCGAATTAACCGTTAACCGAATTCTAAAAATTTTATTAATCGTTAACCGACCAAACTAATTCGATAACCGAACAGAATTAACCGAACTAATTCGGTTCGGTCGGTTAACCGAATTAGTTAGGTTATTTGAACACCCCTATCGTCAATTTGATGATGTGGCAACGTTAACAAAAAGGTTAATGTTTCATTTTACCCCTAACCTACTGCTAAAATGTCAAATAGGTCACTGAACAATGATTTTATATCTAATTTACTCCAAAAAGTTTTCTAATTTTCATTTTTTTAAAACATCCCATTACCTTCACTATATTCGAACCATGTTCCTTACAAAATAAAAATCACACTTAAACAATTAGAAGCACTTTCCTTAGTATTTGTTTCAACCCCACGTAAACAAAACCTAAAAGTCTAAAACTATTTTAAGCTACAATACCAATCTCCGAACCTCATTGTCTTCGTTCTGTGTTGGAGTAAAGTATTTACTAGTGTTCTCTATTCTCTCTTTAGCACTTGATTTTTGGTTCATGGGCTATTAGTTGTCTAAAATATATAACAAAACAGAAAAAAACAGAATGGCTCACTCTTTTTTTTTTTTGCAATAAAAGAGAAGACAACTTATTGTCTAAATACAACTACCGAGGAAACTGCTCCTGATTTTTTAAGTGCGTTTTTCATTTTGTAAGGAATGCAGCTCGAATATAATAGAGGTGGTGGGATGCTTGGGGAAAAATAAAAATTAGAAAACTTTCGAGGTAAATTAGATATAAATTCATTGTTCAAAGACCTATTTGATGTTTTAGCAATAGTTTAGGGTTAAAATGAAACATTAACCTTTTTAATACCTTCACCAATCGAAATACCTTCGATTCTATAAATCGTACACGACTCTCGATAGAATATGAAAGATGAAATCTTGACATAAAAAGTAACAGTAGGAGGTTTACCTTAATTTTATACTTTTCTTTTAGGGTAAATTACATGTTTAGTACATAAATTATCAATTTTTATCCTTTTTATATCTAAACTTTTAACTTTTCCAAAACTATATTTAGTGTCTAGTTTTTGTTTCAATTTAGTACTTGTCGATAAAAACTTAGCGACACTACATTTTTATGGGTAAGTTACATCATTTATCACTAAACTAATTACATCATTTATCACTAAACTATTTATTCACTTATATTTTGATACTAAAGTTTAAAATTCTTCAATTTAACTACTTAACTTTTGAATTACTCATATTCTAATCGCTTTTATTTATTTTATTAATAATTATTGTGACACAACATTCTTTATTATTATTTTATTAATACACAATTAAAAATAAAAAATTTAAATTTGAAAGTTAGAGTGATTAAATTAGGAGTAATTTGAAAGTTAAGTAATTAAAT